CTGTGCCCTTTCCCAGACACTGACACTGCCAAGGTGCCTTCCCTTCCCCAGGGATGCCTCGCCGAGCAGCAAAGAGGGGGCTCCGGGCAAGGAGGGGGCTCCGGCCAGCCCTGGGGAGGGCTGCGTGCCTGATGGCACCCCCAGAGACCCCTCCCCGAAAAGCAAAGATTGCTGCAGGGGCCAGCAGAAGAGCGGGGCTGAGAGCACTGCCCAGAAAGAGCCGGCACCATAGAGCCCAGCACTGGGCACGCGGCAGAGCCACTGGGCAGAGCCGTGCCCGGGCTGCTGACCAGCTCCTCTCGCCCTCTGCCATGAGCCAGGGCAGGAAACAGGCCAGGCACCCATGTCTGTGGTGCATCCAAAAGCCTTAGGGGAACCTGGTTCTGAAAAACTAATTGTCTTTGTGCTCTCCCTCATGTGTGTTGGAGTGAAATAAAAGGGCAGAAGTGTTTGTGTCCGCGTGGTTCTGCGGCACTGACAGAAGGGATCTGCTGGCTTGGGGTGTCCAGCTGCTCCTAAAACCACAACATTTGCAAATTATGGGGGGGGGTGTGGTAAATACCAACCCCTGGTGCAGGGTAGAGGCAGGAACACACAAAGTCGTGCCTCAGTGCCACAATGGAGTGTTCTGAAAACCTACCGGAAATTATAAAGTAAGGATTCCAGTTTCCATGCCACCAGCACCTTGAGAGACCTTCAAATAATCATCAGACAGAAGTTGGCAATGCTTTCTCTTGTTTTTTTTATAAAAAAAGAAAACCCAGGCCCAAACCCAAGCCATTCCCACCAGTGCCCCTTCCTGAGCCATACCGCAGTGCCTTCCCCACGGAACACCACAAGCCCCAGGCGTGAACTGACAAGCAACTCATTTCCATTCCAGCAAGGAAGAATAATGCAGAACTCAAGGAAACAGTGAACCTCTTTGGTATATAACGACAGAATAAGTTATGCCACACAGCTCAGTGGGAACCATTTCAAAATGGTCACATTTAAAAGAGTTTTAGCTAGCCCAACTCTTCTCCTGGTTGGAGATTTCCCTAGGAGCATCTCCTACTTGCCCCAACATCCTGGCTTTTGCCCAAAAGAGCAGGTGAGGATCTCGGGTGCTAAAGCCCTTAGCAAGCCTGGCAGCTGTGGTTCTTTCCCAACCCAAAATCCTGGGATCTCTGCAGGACAGAGGTGGCCTGGCAGGATAGGAAGCAGCATGATTTGGAAGCGGGAAGAGGGAACAGAGGTGGCGGCGGGAGGCAGCGGCTGCAGCGATGACTCCGCATCCGCAGCAGCAGCTGAGGGAGAAGGAGCAGGCTCAGAGGTGCTTGGATCTCTCCCTGTGGACGCCAAGGCCTGGAGAGAGCCGAGTGGTGCCACACTGCCAGCGCTCTGAGGGCGGGCAGAGCCGGAGGCTGCTCCCATGGCCACCCCAGTGCCAGCTCAAGGAGTCGGGCCCAAGGAGATTAAAGCTGCAGCACTGGGCTCACGAGGTCAGAAAGCTTTAAAATTGAATTATGCAACAGGAACAATCTGCTGCCCAGCGCCTCCTCTGCCTGGGGCCCAGAGGGCAGTGCTGCTCTCCAGCAGAATTGGTCCAGAGGCATTCCAGGACAATTCAGCTGCTGCAGGCAGGACAATTCATTCTCTTTAGGGTCGCTACAGGCTAAGTTATCTGGAAGATCCCTGAATGTGCAATGAAGGGCTGATCTCGGGAGGAGGAACGAGCTTCTGATCTGCAAGAATCCCGGCAGGCTGCCCAGTGCCACAGCCCTCCACCAGCTCCTTCTGGGTGGCTGGGAAATACCAACAGGCACATCCCAACACTGATGCCACGCAGGCACCTGGCACGGCGGGAGCCGGGCATTTGCTCAGCCAGTCTGGTTTTCACCTGCATTACAGTTCCAATTTGACTCCTTTAATAAAAGGGAGACCCGATGGCACCTTCCTTTTGTACTCCAGGTACTCTTCTCCAAAGAAGTGAATGAGTGTGATCTCCTCCTCCTCGATCCGCTCCCTGAAGAAGCGCCAGGACGCCAGTGCATAGCCAACCACACAGATGGGATTGCAGAGCAACACCTGGAACAGAGGCCACTAATGAGAGCCTGAGGCTGCCCCGTCCCCACAGCTCATCCCACTCCGGTAACATTGCCATGGGCTCTAAATGCTCTCCAAAAAAAGCTCCCAACAACCCTTGTGAAACTTCATAAATACTAATTTCTCCCCAGAAAGAAGGCAGCAGTGTGCAGGCAGCAGGCAGCTCCTGCTGCCCTGGCTCTTGAGAGTTCTGTGTGCCACCCTTACATCCCCCTCCAGAGAAACAACCCAATGCCAGCTCCCAGCCAGTCACGAGAACACGTGGCTACGGCAGCACTGAGCTACAGCTCAACCACAGCTGGCCAGAGCTGATCCTCTAGCTGGGGCCCTGGGCACCCTCAGAGGGAGTTTCCTTGCCCCTCGGCACAGGACTGGTGTTTGGCAGAAGCCAGGTTGAGTTTGACTGCTCACAGAAGGCATTTTGGCCACAGGGATCCAGGAAACTCTGGACACTAGCTTTAGACCAGCAGCAGATCACGTCCCAGGCCTCCAAAGGGGTTCTGGCTCAAACCTCAGCCCCACCACTCCTGCTTATTGCACTGAGAAAATTAAGACGATGGGATCTTCTCAAAGACTGCATGAGGCAGGTCACTCAGGGATTCCTGGTTCCCTGTGTGCCCGTGGGAGGCAGCAGAATCAGTGCCCAGGGCATCCATTCTGCAGAACACTGTCTGCACCCATCACGGCGTGGGCAGCATTGAGAGCAAAGAGCTGGGTCACGACACGAAGGTATGTGTACCATGTTAGATATGGTACCTGTGTTCCGATGCTCCAGTAAAACCATCCCACGTAGGACGGGTGCCGGAACCACCCGTACACCCCACTCGTCACCAGGGTGTGGGTGTCGGATTTCTCGTTCTGCACGATGTGATTGAAGTTGGAGCCGGCTGTGAGCATGGCCGCCTTCCTCAGGCAGTCCCCGAAGATCACCATCAGCAGCCCCACGGTGCTCAGCCAGGTAATCTGCTTCAGCTCTGTGTGGACAAGGAGGGGCACAGCGGGTTTGCACAGCTCTTGTGGGGGGGCGTGGGGGCTGCTCGGTGGGTGGGCTTTGCCCCCTACTCTGAAGCACAATCTGTGGCAGCAGCGGCCACCCAGCAAAGAGATAAAACCAGCACCCCCTGCCCGGCGTCAGCGCAGCGTCAGCACGGATTAACCCGCAGGGCCTGGATTTAGGGGCTGAGCAAAGCCAGCACAAAGCACAGCCAAGGGCATGCTGGGGCTGTTATGAAACAAGAAAGGGCAACAGCTTCCCTCTCGCAAAAACAAGCAGAAGAACGCAACCAATTTGCCCCAGATTGGGCAAACAGCAACAGTTTTTGCCAGTTTGATTTTATACCTGGTCAAAAGACAACGCCCAGGTGTACTCAAAGTGTTATTCTTGTACCAGTAAGGCAGGAAAGGGCTGAAGACCCCTTAGCCTGGCATCTCAGGGCAAAGGGGAGATCTCCAGTGCCCCCCAAGACCCAACTCGAGAGGCTTTGGGCAAAGAGGGGTTAAGGTCATGGTAAAGCTGATCCAGGACTGGCACGGGACAGTGAGCCAGGGGTCACCTACACTTTGCTAAGGGACAGGTGGGACACGGGCAAGACACGTGCAGCCAGGGAAGGACAGGGTGGCTGACCTGGGAAGAGGAGCTTCTCTAGCGTGAACTCCACCCAGGAGGACAGGGCAGCCAGATTGTACTCGAAGCTGTGGTTGAGCAGGAAGGAGTCCAGTGAGAGGCTGCGTGGGTTGTTGATGGCTGTCACCAGGTACTCCGAGTAGTGGAAGAGGGAGAGGGAGCACATGTACCTGCGGCAGGAGGGAGGGAGGACAGGTTTGGCAGGGCCAGGCAGCGCGTCTGCCCGGCCCGGCCCGGCCCTTACCATCCGAAGTGGCGCCAGGCGGAGCGGCCGGCGCTCAGCAGCACCCCGCAGCCGAAGGCAAAGCCCAGGAAACAGGCCCGGACAGCGATCTGCAAGCACAGGAAGGGGAGAACGCGCTGCCGCCGCCGCTCCCCGGGCCCGGTGGCTCCCGATCGCCGCCCCCCGGCACCGGGACCAGCACCGGCCCCTCCGCGGCCGCCCCCCGCCCCGCTCCCCCGGGCCGTCCCCGCACCTTGTAGAGCGGCCGCGGGTAGAGCAGCAGCAGCGCCGCGTTCACGCCGGCCACGTGCAAGGCGAGTGCCAGGCGGCCGCGAAGGCCAGGGGCGGCCAGTAGGGCGGGGGACGAGCCGAGCAGCAGCGGCAGCGCCGCCACCGAGGCGCCGAGCAGGAAGGAGCCGAGGCTGGCGCGGCCCTCCCGGCCCAGCCGGCCCCGCCGCGCCGCCGCCGCCGCCATCATGGCGGCCCCGCCCCGCCCGCGTCGCCCGGGAAACCACCGCGCCGCTCTCGCGAGAGCTCCGCCCCAGTCCCGCCGCCGCCGCGGCCCTGCAGCGACGCCGCTCTCGCGAGAGTTGCACGGCGGGCGTGGGCGGGGACAGCGGTGGGACCGTCCGGTCTCGCCGGCCCCGGCCCCGCGGCCCCACAGCGGGGAACGGCCCTGCGCCGGGCCTGGGCGGGTCTGGACACTGCCGGGGATGGTGACCACCACCGCCCTGGGCAGCCCCTTCCAGTGCCCGAACAGGGAGAACATTGTCTGATATCTGATCTGCACCTCCCTGTCTCAGCTTAAGGCCATGTCCTCGAGGCCTCACTGCAGGCACGGCTAAACAGATCGGCCCTCACCTTACTATAACCTCCTTTCTGATGGTTTGTTGTTTAATAGCCCAAAGCGGGACACCCATCCCGGCAGGAACTGCGCAGTCCCGTTAAAAGAGCCACACTTCCTTAAAACCCAGGGTGGGAGCACACTGCACCACTTGGGGCCGTGGGTGAATCCTGGGGAGGCGGGAGTGGGGAAAAGCATAGTTGTTTGAAATAAAAGTGTCAGCCTTTTATTCCAGTCAATGAAACAGACTTTATTAATGCCACAGGTTTCCTTAAATAACTTAGATGTGCACAGAGAACTACTTAGAGATGTCACAGACATTCAGTGCGGTCCCAGCACCGCACTTGCGAAAGCTTTGGTGTGCATGGTAGGACAAACCAGCGAGTTGAACATGGCAGCACAAGGACTCGCAGCCCCACACGCCCCCTGGGCCGCCGCACGCCTCCATCCCACTCTGGCATGGGGAGTCAAACAGTAACAACAGCTCCGGAGGCAGATGGCAAGCCCCTGGGTAGGCTCCCAGGGGCTCTCAGTGCCACCTGAAGCACGAGGTGTGCAGTGCTGAGCCCACCAGCAGCGAAGCAGCGGTGCCAGCGGCGGCAGGGGCGAGTGGAGGCACGGACCAGACACAACACAAACGGGAACAACCTGGCAGGCGCTGGCAGCAAGAGTGGAGGGCAGGTCACTGCTGGGCAGCCTGCTGCATCTGCGCCTGCCGCTTGGCTTTGGTCTGCAGGTACCTGCCCTTCCCTTCCTCAAAGCGCCGCTTCTCATCCTCCGTCTCTGTCTGCAGCCACAGAGAGAAAGCAAAACCCCAGTGTCAGTGCTGCAAGTGCTTACAGGAGGGAAATGTGCCATCCCCCGTGGAAATGAGGGGAAAGCTGCCCTCCCTGAAACACACGCCACGACAGCCAGTATGCTCCTGCACAGAGCAGAAGACCTGCGCCACATCAAATATTAACCAAAAAACACCCTCAGACGGCAGCAAGGCATCAAAGCCCTGCCAGGATCAGGGGAGCTAAAAATAGGCAGGAGGGTGGGAGTGGGGATATCATGGGGAGCAGGGACAGGGAACATGGGGGCCTCCATCGCTGCTCACAGTCCCCTGCTCCAGGGCCTGCACACAGCCTGTCCTCAACCATGAGAAAGGAGAAAACCCCCAACCTCCACATTGGCAACGTTCAAAAGAAATAAACAAACAAACAAAAAGAAACCCTGCAGCCTGCTCTGGAAAGTCTCCTTTGTACTCATATTTTTCTGCTGAATAATTCAAGGGAAGAGGATTTGTTGGAAAAAAAGCCAGCTGGGCTCTGCCCTGAGAGAAGCAGAAGAGGTGCTGGCCCCATTGGCTCCAGCCTGGGGGCAGAGCTCTTACCAGCAGCTGCGGGACAGGCAGGGGCTTCCCCTCCTTGCTCAGGGACACATAGGTGAAGAAGGCGCTGACGGCACGGTACCGCTCCCGAGGCTCATCCACAAACGGGTCGGCATCCACAAAGACTTCAATTTCCATGGATTTATTGCTTGTGAAGGTCATGCGCCCCGAGATGGTGATGACACAGCCTGCGAAGCAGAGAGGGGCCAGTGAGGGGAGCAAGAGGTCCTGCATGTTTTATGCTTAAGCTGTGTCTTAAGCAGAGCTTCTTGACACAGGACAAATCTAACAGGGACTAAATTTCTCTGCCGGTGTATCCCGAGCACACACACAAGGGAGCCAGGACATGGCACCATGGGTGCCTGCCACCACCCTCGGTACCTTTTTTGATCTTCTCATGGAAGTTGATGGCATCCACCGAGGCGGTGACAATGTTGGTCTTGCAGTGGCGGGCAGCCACAATCCCAGCAACCTCATCCATGAGCTTCATGGTGACACCTGAGAGAGGAAGCAGAGGGTCCTGTCTCAGGGAAGCTGGTGGGATTTGGGAAAAACCACACATAGGTCAGTAAGGCCTTTGCACGGCCAAAGCTATGCTGAGGAGTCAGACCAGAGACTGAGTCCCAGCTTCAGGAAAACCCAGTACCAGCACAAGGACTCCAGTCAACACCAGGGCAACATTCTCACAGACCTGGCCTGAAGACTGGAAGGAGCTCTGAGCCACGCTGGTTTTGTTTTTATGGACATGGTTAGATGTGTGTTGTCCCAGCCCTTGGCAAACTCGCCCCTCCCCTGGCTCACACCGCACATGCCAGCCCGGCAGCAACAGACACTGCCAGCCAAGAGGAAATGACTCCAGCTAATTGCACTCATTGTATGCTGGGTGTTTATACTCTGGGATTTGCGATCTCAGAGACTATGACAGAACTGTAGGATTTACAGTTCGAGCATGTCAGTTTTGGGGGCACAGAAACAAAGCTTTTGTCTCAGCTGAAGCAACTCTGCTCTGGGGAAAAGCCACCCAGAGCTGCTGCCGAGTGCTGCACAGGGCAGTGCTCACTCACCTCCGTGCACGAAGCCCAGCAGCGTGCAGTCTGATGGGCCCACCAGGTGGATCAGGCTGGACTGGCTGTAGCCAACGGTGTGTGGCTCTGGTTAGAGAGCAAAGCGGGGTCAGAGCTGCTCGGCTGGCACCCGTACGCCACTGTACACCCCTGCCTTAAGTCGTCCAAAGGAAGAAAACGTGGGGCTGGCTTGTGCAAAGCTGAACTGTGTTCAAATCAGAGGCTGTCCCTGACTGCTGCCTCCCTCTAATCCCCACCTATCCATTTTATTCTAGCTCAGCTCATTTGTTTCTTTTCAAGAGCATGAAAGCAAATGGGATTGAACTGGGGCACATGGCTGTACTCCTCCCTCCTCAGCTGAACCTCCCTGACCCTGCTGCACAGAGCCTCTGCTTTCCCTTTGGTGGGAAGACCTCGGCCCCCACGCTCCCAGCCCTGGCACATGCTGTAACCCCTGTCCCGCCACCACCTCAAGGGACCAGAATTCGCACCCTGACTGCCAGCAGAGGAAATCCTCTGCATTTTCCATCTAATGGGAGATGCTGAAGGAGCTCAAAGCAGGGAAAACCAGCCAAGCCCCCGACCGCTTAGGGCGGGCACCCACACAGCAGGACCCACCGAGCCTTACCTTTTGTCTGCCTGTCTGTGAGCAGGGAGGATAGAGGGGAAAAAAGCATTTGAGCAACTTTCATCCCCCATCATCCCCCCAACATTCCCTGTGTGCCACCTCTCTGCCTCTGCCCAAGGACCATGGCCGGGCCTAGAAGCCACGCTTGCCCAACGCTTGCATTTACCCCCTGTTGAGCAAAACCAGCTCCAGCTGCCCAGGAGTGCACAAGGGATACAAGGAGTGGTGCAGAAACAGGGTTTTTGAAGAGAGCATCCCACCCGCCAGCCCCCATGTGGCATCACAGCTGTCCACCCGGCTCTCCCTCTCCTCACACACTGTGGGCTCCAAAATCCCATCCCCATCCCTGACATGGTGTTTCAGAACACACACACAGAGCTATGGGGCCCTGGGGATGGCTGGAGTTGCCTTGGGGATCAGTTTGGCCTCCCAGTACTGCTGGGCCATTTGCACTGACCACACACGGCCCGAGTTACCTGGGTTGATGATGGGGAAGATCACGTCACCATTTCTCTGCTTAGTTTCCAGCCGATCCAGCTTTTGCTCCTCATAACGCTTCTTCCCCTCGTCCTCCTGCTCCTTTCTCGTGTACTGGAAGGGAAACCTGGTAAGAACAGGGCAGCAAAGCCACCAGCACAGCCAAGGGTGCCGACAGGGCTAGGTTAGCGCCATTCCCCAGAGAGGCCAAGTTCCAGTTTTGGGGGACCAAAGTGAGCTGTCCTACCTGGATGGGGGGAACCTCAAGGACCTTATTCACGTTCTTCAGGGACAGAGGCACATACCACAGCGTCGCCTTGTTTGTCAACTTCTTTGCCCCTGGAGGAGAAGGGGGCAGAGGGTGACAGTGCCATGGCCAGCAGTGCTGTGTCTGCCGCTGATCTCGGGGTGGCCACACACCAGCGATGCCACCAGCACCAGTGGCCCCTCACCCTGCTGGCTTCTGGCGGGCTTTGGCTCACAGCAAATGTGACAATGCACTTTTGGAAAGGCATCCTGGCAAGTGGAGCTAGTTGCCACAGCAACAGCAGTAAAAGGGCCCTTTTCAGGCCAAACGGGCAGCGAATCAGGGAGGAGGAGCTACGAGCAGATATTGCCATTCTTCACTAAAAAAGATCAATGGAGCCGTAATCCCCAGGGAGACTGCTTGGCTTCCCTTCCCAGTGCCAGCTCTCCCCACACCCCCAGCACTCTCAATAAAAAGGTAAGACCTCCCCTCTGCCCAGTGCTGCCAGTGATGGAGTGAAGGACGGGATCACCACTGTAAGCTCTTGACTCATCACCATTATTCCTGGAGTTTTGGGACACAGCCACAGGCAGCCACCCACCTGTTAAAATGTTTTCAGACATGACGTTGACCTGGACCTCCACGGAGTGCCGGGAGGTGTAGGTGATCTCGGCACTGACATTGGCCACCTCGCCGATGCACATTGGTGAGAGAAAGTCTGTCCGCTCCACCCGTGCCAGTGCAGCCACGCAGGGCTCCTGGGGACAGTGAGACAGCTGGGGTAGTGACCATGGCCACACCACGTGGGACCGCAGCCAGCAGCTCCCCGGGGCCAGCTGTGCTGGAAGTAGCTCCAGCACTTTAACCTCCACTTTATCAGCCACTGGCTGCACTTCCTTCCCCATCTGTAACCAATGCCCCGACCCCGCCCTTCGAGGGAGTTAAAACATTAATAGCAGGGCAAAAGTTTCTGCTCATAAACCACAATTTCAGCGGGATGCTTCCAGCCACCAGCGGTGTGCACGCAGGAGCAAGCACTCCCAGTGCGGGACCCCTGCTGCCAGGATGAATCCTGATATGCAACAGGATGTCGAGAGTCGCTGCCTGAGCCCGGAGGGCACTCTGGCTCCTACTTACTCCGGCCTGGGAGTTGCAGTGACGGGTACTGATGATGGCTCCCGCCTCCTCAATCATCTTCAGGATGGTTCCCCCGTGGACATTCCCAGCGATGTTGGCATCGTCCGGGCGCATAATCCTGCCAGGGGAAGGACATGGGAGCTTGAACCCCCAGCCTGGTCCCGGTGTGGCTGCCCGGAGGGATCCCATGGTCCACTGGCTGAGCTGCCGGGCCATGGCTGCCCGCACGCGGCTCCCTGTGAGCGGCGGTGAAAACCGCTCCGAATTACCGGGGGAGCGGAAGGAGACAGCGTTCCTCTGCCGGGGTAGCCGGCAGCCCTCGGGGCCGCGCCCCGCCGGGCCCCGCTGCGGCACAGGCCGGGCCGGGCACGTGCCGCCGCTCCCGGCGGCCTCCCGGCAGCGGCGGCGGCTTCTGCCAACGGCGAGTAACGGCCCGGCGAGGGGAGCGGGGGATGCCGGGGCAGCTGCCCTCAGGGCGGCCGTGCCCGGGAGCCGCGGGGACACGGGCGGGAGAAGCTCTGCCCGCTCACACCCCCTGCAGCACGGAGCGCGTCTGCCCGCGGCCGGTGTCGCTCGTAGCGTGACCAGCGCGGGCAGCACCGCAGGCTGCATCCCACTTGCAGGCCGGCGCCCGCCCCCTTGCCCAGCCCACCCCGGGCTCCCGGCGGCGGAGGGGCCCTACCTGGAGACCTGGATGGCGGCCGGGCCCGGGCCCGCGGCCCCCGGCTCCGACATGGCGGCACCGGCGCCCCGCCCGCAGCAGCGCTGCGGCACCGCCGCGCCCGGCACCGCCCCGCCGCGCCCGGCACCGCCCACCGCCACGCCCCATTGGCGGGCAGCGCCGGGCCACGCCCCCCACGCGGGGAGGGGCGGGGCCGGGGCGGCTCCGGGGCCGTGCGAGCCCCGCGGCCGGGGGGCCCTCCGCCGCCCCGGGCTGTCCCGCCTGCGCGGGGGCTCGAGGCGGCCGCTGTCTTCGGGTCGGCACGGGCAGCACACCCCGCCGCCCCCGTTCTCGGCCCCTCTCTCCGTTTGGGACAGAGCTGCGCGGGGTGCCCAGGGCTTTTGGGGCGTGTGGTGACGACAGTCCCGAGCAGGCAGGGATAGCTCTCATTGGAGACCAGGCAGGGGCCGGAGTAGTCCAGGGCCCGGGCCGTGGGGTCCCGGGGATGTCGGGAGCCGCGGTACTCACGGCCTCGCCGACCGACGGCAGGATGAGCGTCTTGAGCGTCCTGTCTTTGATGCGGGCGCGGCGGCGCGTCTCCATGAGGGGCCGGAGCCTCTGCCGGCAGACGGGGCGGCCCGGGGTGCGGGGGGCCGGGATTGCCGTAGTCTCACCTTGCACGGCTCGGTGGAGGCGGGTGGGGCGCGGCGCCCCAGCGGGGACGTGTTGCTCCGGCGCTCGGTACCAGCTTTATGAGCCGCCGGCGGGGCAGGGCGGGAGAGCCGGACATGCAGGGCGGGGGGGCAGGCAGGGAGGGAGGTGGGCAGGACGGCCTTGCCGCTGTCCTCAGTGCTGATCGACAGGCGACGTCGCTGTCCGCGGTCCTGACTTTGGGGGGTCCCCGCCTGCCCGCCCACGCCGTCCTCTGCCCGCCCCCGTGCCCGCGGTAGAGGCCGCCGCTGCCCGTTCTGCCCACGGTCCCGCCGTCGATTCCCGCGATGCCGCTCCCCGCGGCAGGCGGAGGCGGGGCAGCCGCCCCTCCAGCGCCCCTCGCTCTGGCCATGCTGCCGGGACCGACAGCGCACGTCGGGGCTGCCGGAGGAGCCCATCCCCGCCGCGCCTTTCACGTAGGCGGGCGGTGACACCTGTGGGGCCGCTCCGAAAGCCGCGGACGGCGGCGCCGGCAGTCGGGCACGGTCCGCTCTTGGGATACTCCCGGGTCGGCTCCGGTCCCGGCCCGGCCCCGGTCCCGGTCCCAGCCGCCGCCCAGCAAAGCGCGGCTGCCCCGGCCGGGGCCGGGGGAAGCGTTGCAGGGGTCCCGAGCAGCGAGCAGCCGCCGCGCCGTCGGGCGGGGCGGGCGGAGGGGCGGCCCCGAGGGCGGGAGAGGAGGAGCCGGCGGGGCCGGGGGGCGGCGAGGCGGGAGCGCCACGCAGTGCCAAGCGGCGGCCGGGGCCGCCGGGGCCGGGGCCGCCGCCGGGGCTACCGGGGCCGGGGTCAGGATGGCGCTGGAGCGGGCGCTGCTGGCGGCGCGACAGGGCGACGTGGAGGCGCTGCGGGGGCTGCGGGCGGCCGGGCTGCTGCGGCCGGGGCTGCGGGACGCCCTGGGCGCCTCCCCCGCGCACCACGCCGCCCGCGCCGGCCGCCTCGCCTGCCTCCGGTACCTGGCGGCCGAGGCCGCGCTCCGCGGGGACGCGCGGGCACGCAACGGGGCTACGCCGGCCCACGACGCCGCCGCCACCGGCAACCTCGCCTGTCTCCAGTGGCTGCTCACGCAGGGGGGCTGCGGCGTGCAGGTGCGAGCGGGGTCGCGGGGGGCGGCGGGGGGCGTCGGGCCCCCGGTGGCGCGGGCGGCCGGGGAGACGTTCCGCGGTTCCGCGTGGGTAGCGGTGGCTGCGGGGAGACGGCCACGCGTAGTGCCCCCAGCTCTGCACGGGCACGGCCCTGCCGTGCATGGCCGGCGGCATCCGACGGACCCGGAGAGCCCCCGGCATCCAGGGGGTGCTCAGCCCCGAGGGCAGCGCAGATTCCCCGGGGCTGCCGCCCCCTCCCGGGGTTACACAACGGCGGCCCGGGGCGGTAAGCGGCTTGCCCCGGGGCCGGCCGAGAGTTAACGACATGTGACGGCCGGAGGAAGAGCGGGCGGCGGCGGGGTTGGGAGCGGGGATTAAACGAGAAGGACGGGGTCAGCAAGCATCGGCGACCTCCTGGCCAGGGGCCAGCTCTGCCCGCGCCCCACGGAGCGTGGAGGGCGGACGGGCCGGCGGCACAGCGGGGCTCGGCGGCGACTTGCCTGCGGGCAGGGGCTCCGCCGCCGGCAGAACAAGGAGGCCTTTGTGCCGCACTCGCTGTGTACAGACGCAGGCCCTGATGGAGGGCAGACACGCTGGTCCCTTGGTCCCTCGGTCCCTCCAATGCCCTGTGCCCCCACTCTGGCACTGCTCCATCCTGGCCAGCCCACCCTTCCGAGCCCAGCTCCTGGCTGAGGGATGCCCCACAGCTGCTCGCTGTCCCCAGCCCCACATACACTCCCTTGCTGGAGGTGCTTGGGTCCCTGGTGCCCACAGTCATTCTGCTTCCTCCTGCAGGACACAGACAACTCCGGTGCCACCATCCTACACCTGGCAGCCCGCTTCGGTCACCATGAGGTGATCGACTGGCTCCTCCGCTTCGGAGGCAGTGACCCCATGGCAGCCACCAACACAGGAGCACTGCCCGTCCACTACGCCGCGGCCAAAGGGGATTTCCCTTCCCTGCGACTCCTCTTGGGACACTGCCCCAGGTAACAGCCCCCACTGCTGCTAGTGAGAAGGGCTCTGCCGGAGGCTTGGCACTCACCTTCAGGAGAGGGGCTAGTGGGAGACTGGGGTACCCACTGCTGCCCCATCCCTCCCTCCAGCCGCTGGGCAGGGTGCCAGCACTGGGGATGAATGCTGCAGCCACCCACATCCTCCAGCTCCAAGGGCAATGTGGCCGAGTTATCAGGCCGGGCAGTCAGCTGCACCTTCTTTATGGCCCAGAAAGAAAGGGTGAGGAGGAGAGCAGCGAGTGCTGGCAGAAATATTGCCACCGGCCACTGAGTCGGCTTCTGGGCTCCTGGCGCAGGGTGATAACACAGCCGCCTTTGTCTGCCTGCTGTTATGTAAATGGATTAGGCTGCCCGCCGAGGAGAGGCTGCTCCTGCGCACGAGACAACCTTTCCACATGCCCACGGCCACGAGCGTTGCTGGACGTGGCAGCCTCACTCAGACGGCTTCATTACGGCAGCATCTCTGCTTTGGCTCCTGAGCAGTACCTGGAACCAAGCTGGTCCTCCAGGCTACGTGGCACAGCAGCCCATTGGGCCCGTGGTGCCAGGCCTTTCTACGAGGCTGCAACAGGTGATTAGGTGGCCCCTAATCCGATTTCCTGCAGTGGGCAGAGGCCACTAGAAATAACCCACAGACCTGGCCAAAGTGGAGCCGGGGGGATGCGCTGTTGCTCCATGCTGTCCCTGGCAGGCTCCAGGGCTGCAGATGAAAGGGGTTGCACAGTTTCCCCACATCCGGGGTGCTCCAGAGGCAGCAGAGCTGAACCAGGGTTCGGCACCCCTCTGTCCCTGGGTACCCCAGACTCCCTCATCCCTTCCAGGCAGGACCACAGAGCCCATTGAGGGATCCCTACATCCCATGGCACTCACTGGCCAGAGCTGCCCCAGCCCCAGCCCTGGCTCTTTATCCCCTTGCCCCAGGTGTGCCAGCTTGGCCCTGAGCACCTCTGGGATTAACTCTTGCAGCCCCAGCCCAGCCCCAACCCAGCCAATGCTCCCGCTCGGTGCCTGCTGTGTCAGCCCCGGTGTGGCGCAGTGCTGGCATTGGCTTTCACACTTCTTGTCAGGGTTCCTTCATTGCTGTCACTGCCTTCCCCCTGAATTATTTAGGGCTGGCCCTGCTCCCTGTGCCTGCCCAGAGGCTCCATTACAGCTGCGAAATTCAATCCCCAGTGCTGCCGCAGGATGCTGCCGCTCCCAGCCCACCTTCACACCAGCCCAGAGGGTCTCTGGCAGCCGGTGGCCCAGCATGGGGTCTCAGCCATCTGGCAAAGCAGTTTACTGGTGCTGCCCAATTGGCTTAACCCCTTCCCAATTAGTGGGAAAAGCCAATCAGGGACTGACTATGTGCCTGTGCTCCCACTGTCCCCTGCACCCCAGACTGCCACCACCCCAGCCTCATCCCCAGCCCCTGCTTGGGGAGAACCCAGCACTGTGCCAGCCCAGCACTACTGAACTGTGGCATGGCACAGCATGGCATGGCACAGCACAGTGGGAAGGTAGTGCTGGCCTCAGCCTGTCTCACAGTTACAGGGATCAATTATTAAGGGCCTGCGATCGTTGTGATAACAGACCAGAGTATTTATTGCTCTTCCTTTTTTAAATATTCAACAGGTTTTTTTATGGAGCACTTAATAAAACAGCTTCCTTCAGGGTGGGGAGGCAGGATGTAGGATGTGGGATGTAGATGCAGAATATGGGGCCATGAGATGTGGGGTAAAGGATGTGGGATGCGGGAGGCTGTGCAATTTGGGACGAGGGACTGCCAAGGCAGTGGGGCTGCCAGGGGGCAGCAGGGCTGGGCAGCACCGTGGTGCAGGTTGGCCTTTCCCCACCAGCTCCATGGCCGGTGCTGCCTAAGCTGCTTACTTTAAAATACGACTAAATTGCAGTGTCCAAAAACAGCCGGAGGAAGGAGCTTAGCCTAAGCGGGCTGATTAACTTAGTGACCTCCTGCTGCAGCTGCAGCCACCGCCACAGCATGGGGACCCACGGGGAACCGCGGGGCGGACGGCTCCCAGCCTGAGCACTGCCCTGC